AGATTCTCCAGGAGCTGGGGGGGGGGGGGCTGTGTGTAATGGTGGGGCCTCTTTGTTGTTGTTGTTCAGTCGCACAGTTGAGTCTGACTCTTCGCGACCCCACGGACCACATCACGCCAGGCCCTCCTGTCTTCCGTCGTGCTCTGGAGTTTTACCGTACCAGAAGTTAAAATCCAAAAGGAACCGGAGTGGTGGCTTCATCTTGTGGCCCAAGCAAGCTGTCCAGCTCCCAGTAGATTTCTAGCAAGCTGGGGCCAGGTTTTTCATTATGGATCCCCCGAGCAATGCTCCCTCTAAGCTGTGGAGTCCTGTGAGCAAGGATCCTACTTTGTGAGCTCCCGGCATTAAAGTTGTGAGCGAGCGATCTGGCCGCCGCATCAATTAGTTTGCTCTCCCTGTAGATGTGACACTGGAGGTGACACACGACGTAGAGCACGTTGGGGGGCGTGGCCCAGATCGTGGGGGGGAACCATATGGTCCCCCCCACGATCTGGGCCACGCCCCCGACGTGCTCTACGTCGTGCGTCACTTCCTGTGACGTTCTGGCGGCGCACGCACGTCCGCGGGCTGCTCCCGGACCGAGCAAACGCTCCCCCGCCGGTGAGTAAAAAAGACTTGGCAACCCTAAGTAGTACCTTAGAGACGAACAAGGTTTTCAGCATGGAAGCTTTTGAAAGTCAAAGCCCGGTTCCTCGGGTCCAGAGTTGTGATTGCCGTGGCTTCTGGTGGGTAGTTGTTTCCACCATGATGGGGGGGGAGGCTGGAGCGGCTGAGCACGCACACAGCTCACTCCCCGGTGTCTCAATGCTTCACATGCACTATCTGGACACCGGACACGCTGGAAAAGTGGGCAGATGTGAACAAGAGGCAATTTAACAAGGATAAAGTGCCGAGTTCTGCATCTGGGTAACAAAAAAAGAGGAAGACGCATACTGGATGGGGGATACACTTCTGAGCAGCAGCAGTGTGTGTGTGAATGAAATCTTGGAGTGAGGGTGGACCAAACGTTATGAGCACCCAGCGTGATGCAGCGGCAAAAAAGGCTAATGCGATCTTGGGGTGTATCAACAGAGGCATAACATCCAAATCGCAAAATGTCATAGTCCCAATGTACACTGCATTGGTCAGGCCGCACCTGGAGTCTTGTGTGCAGTTCTGGAGGCCTCCCTTCAAAAAGGATGTGGACAGAATGGAGCGGGTGCAGAGGAGAGCGAGGAGGATGATCGGGGGCCTGGAGACCAAGACCTAGGAGGAAAGGCTGGGGGACTTGGGAATGTTCAGTCTGGAGAACGAGAGGTTGAGGGGGACAGGATTGCTCTCTTGAAGTATTGCAAGGGCTGTCCCTTAGAGGAGGAGGGCAGGGAGCTGTTCCTGTTGGCAGCAGAGGAGAGAACTCGCAAGAACGGGTTTAAATTCAGGACGGGAAGGTACCGGCTGGATCTTAGGGAAACCTTTTTGACACTAAGGAGTTGTGCCACAGTGGAATCAGCTGCCTGGGGAGGTGGTGAGCTCCCCCTCCCTGGCTGTCTTTAAGCAGAGGCTGGACAAACTCTTGTCCGGGATGCTCTAGACCAGGGGTGTCGAGCTCATTTGTTATCTGACATAGATGAGACCTGGGCTTTTTTTGTAGAAAAAGCCCAGCAGGAACTCATTAGCATAATAGGCCACACCCAATATCAGACACTCATTAGCATATTAGGCCACACCCCTGACAGCACAGCTCATTAGCCTATTAGGCCACACCCCCATGCCTTCCCTTGGCTTGCCCGGACGCCCCGCAGCTGCAGGGCACCCGGACAAGCCAGGCCTTGAACAGGCCGGGAAAGGCACGGGAGGCATTTAAATGCTTCCCTGATCCTTCCAGGCCCCCCCCCGGCCCACCTGCCTCGGAGTTGCCAGGGGGGGGGGTTCACTCTCCAGGCCTTCCCTCTGTAGCCAGGCACGCAGAGGTTTTGGCTGTAGTGGGCGTGGCCAGCTCTGAAGCCAGCCGGAACTCCGTTCCTGTGCGTTCTTGCCCAAAAATAGCCCTGGATGAGACCTTGTTGGGCCGGGCCGGGCCGGGTGTGTCATAAAATGTCATGCCAGGTAGCGGAGATATAAACTTTATAAAGGACACAAACACAAAGGGTTTTTAAAACTTAAAATAAAAAACATGCTTAGAACATCAGCACTCTGGCAATATTTTGTTCATTTAACAGTGTCTGATAACTGACACCTCTTGCTCTGAATTACTGCATTAAAATGTCTGTGCTGTTGCAGTCTCGAGTATGCTGTTGAGGTGTGTATCTGTAAGCCGCAAACCTACGATGACACTAGGTTAGGGACTTTTGACGTGGGCTCTACCGCGAAGTATCTGTCAAGTTGAACAGCCCCATATCATCGCAGAGCATAGCTGCTTACACGCTTTAATGTTCCGCCATCAGAGGTGCTTTTTGGGAGGTACCGCCAGATACCATATGTAGACAGACTTTGTCCTTAGGGCTCTGTAAAAGATATAGGATCCACTACGCACGCCATACTTCATTGCCCCCTCTGTAGGGATATCCGATCTCGTTTTATTACTCCACTTCTAGAGGGTAAGAGCTGACATTCTGATGACTCAGTTGTTCACTTTCTTCTGTTTCATTCTAATTGCGAAATAACGGAGGCTGTTGCAGAATTTTTATATTTATGCCATCAGAAGGCGAGGCTTGAATAGCCGAGTGTAAGTGACTGATGCATCTTAGTATTTTCCCGTATTGCCACGATGTTTTGTGCTTTCACGTCAGTAAAGGTTTTGTGTGTATGTAGTACCTACGATGACACAGCAGCAGCAGAACTGGAAGAAGCAGCAGGAGACAGCCAGTTCCACTGCGGGCCTGATAGAAGCCCTCCCGGGGGGGGGGGGGGGGCTGACTCGGCCCCCGGGCCACATGTTTGACATGTGGGTGGGGCTAGATGGCCTGTATGTGATTCTATGATTCTGTGACTATCTACCGTGGCCGGGGTGTGAGCACCTCTTCCGTCATGGTGGAGAATGTCCTTCGTAATCTGCAGCCCCTGAAGTGGCCTTTGGGTTCTGTCTTGCCTGGTTCTTTTCTTGCTGTTCTGGATCCCGGTGTGTTCGCAGCAGCGCCGGTCTAACTCTGGCCCTGGCCCTCCTCCTCCTTTCAGGTCGGCTTCCTGAAGATCCTGCACAAGTACGAAATCACGTTCCTGTTGCCTTTTGTACAGCGCCTGGGGAAAGAAATATCTGCCGCGCCGTTGCCGAACCTGAACCTTCGAGTGATCGACATCACGCCGGCGTCCGAAGGTAAGCGCTCCCCTCCTGCCGGCGGTTGCTCCGCAGCGCGAAGGTGGGCTGTCGTCCAGGCGTTTGCCTGCTCCGTGGCTGTCCTGCGACAGAGAATCGATGACCAAAATGCCCCCGCCCCCCCAGACAAAGCAAGCCTTTGGTTGTGTGTGTGTGTCTGTGTCTCTTTTTGCTACTCTGCATTCATTCCGCCCCACACCTCTTTTAATTGCACACAGGAGAGCCAGTGTGGTGTAGTGGTAAAGAGTGTTGAACTAGGTCTAGGACCTGAGAGACCCTGGTCCTAGACTCATACCGTGGAACCTCACTGGGTGACTTTGAAGAAGATGAAGATGAAGAGGAGGAGGAGGAGGATATTGGGTTTATACTCTGCCCTTCACTACCCAGAGGAGTCTCAGAGTGGCTTATAATCTCCTTTCCCTTCCTTCACAACGGGACACCCTGCCCCTGAGAGAACAGCTCTGAGAGAACTTGTGACGGACCCAAGGTCACACCAGCAGCTGCATGTGGAGGAGTGGGGAATCAAACCCAGTTCTCCCAGATTACAGTCCACGCTCTTAACCACTACACCAAACTGAGGCCAGTCACGCACACTCAGCCTAGCCTACCTCACAGGGTTGATGTGGCGATAAAACAAAGGAAGGGAGAATGATGTAAGCCACTTTAGAGAGAAAGATAGGGCACAAAATAAATTTTAAGATAAATAAACATAGCCCTTTTTTGGGGTAAGGTGACATTTTCTAGCAGAGAACCAACTTGAATATCTCTTTATGACAGGAATCAGATATTGTTTCAGAAGGTGAACCATGTTGGCCTGCAGTAATTTATTAATAATAATTACCATATTGCCTTGTGCATAGTATAAGCAGGGGATCCTAAAATTGTCTGGCAGCCAGAAATTCTGGCTCTTTCTAGTGTTTTGCACCACTAGGTGGAGAGCGAGGTCATCCCATGAGCTTCCATGGGAGAAGTGGGGGATTCGAACCCAGATCTCCCAAGATCCTAGCCCACCGCTCTATCCACTACACCACACAGGGTCTCAGGAGGAGGGAATTAATTAATTATCCTGTGGTAGTGTGGGGCTGCGGTGGCTCAAGTGGTTAAAACGCTGAACTGCAGGCTGTGGAAGGTCAGTAGTTCAGCAGTTCGAGACCCGGGTGCCACATGACGGAGTGAGCTCCCGTCTCTAGTTCCAGCTCCTGCCAACCTAGCAGTTCGAAAGCAAGAAATGGCAAGTAGATCAATAGGTACCGCTTCGGTGGGAAGGTAACAGTGTTCCGTGCGCCTTGGTGTTTAGTCACATGACCACGGAAACGTCTTGGGACAGCGCTGGCTCTTCGGCTTTGAAGCGGAGATGAGCACCGCAACCCTAGAGTCGGATTCGAGCAAGGGAACCTTTACCTTTACCTTTTAGCGTGTTTAGTATAGCCAGGGGATCCTAAGATTGTTCTAGCTCTTTTAACGTTATGCACCACGAGGTGGCGAGCTAGACTTGTTTTTGAGGCAAGAGAGGTTTCAGAGATGCTTTGGCATTTCCTCTGTGTCACGACCCTGGTGTTCCTTGGAGGTCACCCTTCCCAATACTAGTCAAGGCCGATCGTGCTTCGCTTCTGACGGGATCGGGCCAGCTGAAAGCCATCCGGGGCGGGGCAGGGCAGGCCTGCCGTAGAAATGCTGAAATCGAGCCCAGCAGCGCCTTAGAGACCAACAGGATTCTGGGGCATGAGTTTTGGAGACTCAAAGCTCCCTTCGCCAGATCCAAGTCAGAAGGGAGATTTCTGAGCCCTTTTCTCCCAGTCTGAAGATGGAAGGGAGGCGGGATGCAAAAGCAGGTTGCAGAATGGAGTGTAAAGAGGTGCGTCTCCGAAGCGTTTCCCAGCAAGCGATTGCCTGGCTCTTACTTGGTGGAGATATTTGGGGTTTATTGTTGTTGTTGTTGTTGTTTTGTTGTTGTTTTGTTGTTGTTTTGTTGTTATTGTTGTTATTGTTGTTATTGTTGTTATTGTTGTTATTGTTGTTATTATTAATACATTTTGTTGAATTATAAAACAAATCTTAAAACTGTAAACATTTAGTAGTGACTTAGAAAAAACAGTAATATACATCTTTAAGTGATCCAGGCAGTTGTTGTTGCTGTTCAGTCGCACAGTCGAGTCCGACTCTTTGCAACCCACTGGACCAGATCAATGCTCCCTCTAAGCCATGGAGCCCTGTGAGCAAAAAGTCTACTTTGTGAGCTACAGGCCTTAAAGTTGTGAGCGGGCCATTCAGCTGCTGCATAAATTAGTTTGCTCTGGGGCCATCCTTCCTGAGCGAAGACGAAGATCTGTGAGCCAGAGGCTAAGAAATGGTGAGCTAGCTCACACTAACTCAGCCTAGAGGGAACACTGGACCAGATCATGCCAGGCCTTCTGGTCTTCCACCATCCTCTGAAGTTGGCTCAATTTCATGTTCGTTGCATCTATGACACTGTCCAACCATCTCATCCTTTGCCGTCCCCGTCGTCTTTGACCTTCAATCTTTCCCAGCATCAGGGTCTTCTCCAGTGAGTGCTCCCTTCTCATTGGGTGGCCAAAGAATTTGAGCTTCAGTTTCATTATCTGGCCTTCCAGGGAACAGTCAGGGTTGATTTCTTTGAGGATTGACTGATTTGATCTTCTTGCAGTCCAAGGGACTCTCAAGAGTCTTCTCCAGCACCATAGTTCAAAAAAAAAAGAGAGAGAGAGAGAGATCCAGGCAGTACAATTACAATATAGTAAATATACCCAAATAACAATAACTATTTTACTATATAACTTCATAACTTATTGTGGTTCACAAAAAACCCACCCCAACCAACAAACAGGAAACCACGACTGATTAGGATAATCAATATTTTTTTTACATATTAGTGTTAACAATATATCATAATCTCTTAGTAACGTTGAGGTATTGACAGTGAGGAGACCGCACCGTGTGTAAAAGTTGCTTCTAGAAACAGAAGTTGTTTCGAGTACATAGTTGACGTAGTCTGAGGGTCATTTCGTATCAGTAAATCCGCTGTAATTTTCGGTGGAGATATTTGGTGATGGACACACAGTGCCCTGTCACAAATTGTGTGTGTGTGTATGGGGGGGGGGGGGGAGAGGCCTCCTGTCTTCAAGTGGTGGCAGCTATGCCAGGCGGAACCTGTTGACGGACGGCAGCCATCAGGTGGCCATTCCTTTGAGCACGCATGGAGCCTTTCCGCCCCCATGGAATGCAGAAGGGAAGGAATGTTGTGGGGGGGGGGGTGTTCCCTTGTACATGAGAACGCCACTGAGCATGATGGTTGATCCGGCCCCCACCCCATGATCCAGTGTTGTGTTAGGGTAGAACAGTGTTCCTTCTAAGGAGCCAGTTCGGTGTCGTGGTTAAGTGCGTGGACTCTAATCTGTGAGAACCGGGTTTGATTCCCCCACTTGCACCTGCTGGATAACCTTGGGCAAGCATAGTTCTGTCAGAGCTGTTCTTGAAAAAGAGCTGTTTCTGTCAGAGCTCTCTCGACCCCACCTACTTCACAGGCAGTGTTCCCTCTAACCTGAGTTAGTGTGAGCTAGCTCACTTTTTTTTAGCCTCCGGCTCACACATTTTCGTCTTAGCTCAGGAAGGAGGGCTCCAGAGCAAACTGTATGTGGTACCCAAATCCCTCGCTCACAACTTTAATGCCAGTGACTCACAAAGTAGAATTTTTTCTCGCAAGACTCCACAGCTTAGAGGGAGCATTGCTCACAGGGTGTCTGTTGTGGGGAGGGGAAGAGGGAAAGGAGTTTGTCAGCCGCTCTGAGACTCCTTTGGGTAGTGAAGGGCAGGGTATAAATCCAATCTCTCCTTCTTCTTCTTCTACCTCCCAGGGTGTCTGTTGTGGGGAGGGGAAGGGAAAGGAGTTTGTAAGCCACTCTGAGACACCTTTGGGTAGTGAAGGGCGAGGTATGAATCTAATCTCTTCTTCTTCTTCTCTAACCACTACACCGAACTGGAATTATACTCTCCTGAGGTCCCTCCCCAAACCCCCACCCTCCCCAAACTCCACCCCCAAATCTCCAGGAATCCCCCAACTCAAAGTTGGCAACCGGAAGGATTTTGTCTCTGAGATCTCAGGGTATCGCAGGCAATGTTCCCTCTAAGCTGTGGAGTCTTGTGAGCAAAAATTCTACTTTGTGAGCGACTGGCATTAAAGTTGTGAGCGAGCAATTTGGCTACTGCATTAATTAGTTTGCTCTGGAGCCCTCCTTCCTGAGCTGAGACAGAAATCTGTGAACCGGAGGCTAAAAAACTGTGAGCTAGCTCACACCAACTCAGCTTAGAGGGCACACTGATTCACAGGCCCTGCGTGTTGACTGAGCTGCCGCTTCCAAAGGGATGCCACCTGATCTCAAGGCGGTTCTAATGACCCAAATAAACCTGCGCCGGGGGAGGGATATTGCCTGTGAGGAAACAAGTGAAGGCGGTTTTTTTGTTTCATTTCCCTGCTCCATCCGCAGATGTCCCCGCTTGTTGCTGGCGCTCAGTTCTGTTGCAGCTACGGAGAGCATCCCTGCAGTGGCGGTGGCGGTGGGAGGGGAGGGGGAGGCTGGCTGCGGCACCGTTCTTATCCCCCGCGTGGCTGATGAACGTGCTGCAACTGTGTGGCACGAGGCGTGCTTGTTCTTCCAGCGAAAATTTGCCAGCGCTTCCCGGAATAGTTAATCGCAAAGTTACTTCTCTGCCTGCTCCTCTCCGTTCGTTTGTTTGTTTGTTCGTTCTCTCTCTCTCTCTCTCTCTCTCTCTCTCTCTCTCTTCCCCCCCCCCGTATTCCGTGCTAGCAGGGTGGGGAACAATCAGTGGGGCTCAGCTCCCAGTGGGATTCCAGATTTGCTCGGGGTGTGTGTGTGTGTGTGTGTGTGTGTGTGTCTGCAGTCCACCAGGATAGATTCAGGCGGGTGGCCGTGTTGGTTTGAAGCAACAGAACAAAGTTGGAGTCCGGTGGCACCTTGAAGACC